TTAGTTTTCTGGCATCAACTTTTTTCTTTATAAGCGTTTCAATCTTTTAACTTTATTGATTAGACACCAGAACTGCTTAGGAAATCCGACAAGATGTCCTCATTAATTTAGTTTTACGCTTGTCATAAAACGCTAATGTCAATCAGCCTCAGAGGAGACGGTTGCTCGCTGATACTGCCAGAAGAAATATCATAATTTCCTCACAATTCTTGACTATTTACACACTGGATGAAGTCTCAGTGTAATGCCTAGAAGTTATCAGACGAGATCATCGATGTAAATGACCCTCTGACATGCCGTCTGGAAACCACAGTGACAATATGTGTGTCTTACATCTCCATCCACGCAGCGCAAAACCATCTGGGTTTTTTTTTTTTTCTTCCTTGTGACACAAACTACCCACGCACTTAAACACCCTGCTTTCATGTGTGAAGAGGTGTGATTTTGCAAAGATAGCAGTTTCCTTCAGCTGCCCACTGTTTTCTGTGTCACTAGCGGGAGTCAGAGATTGATAACCGAATTAGCCGACTGACGGAAAAGAGGATTGCCGCCTCCTCCTGTAGAGTGCAGTTTGTAACACAAATTATCTTGCGAAACAAAATAAAATGCAATACAATACAAAAGCAAATAAGACGATTCAGGAAGACGCATTTGCTTTTCTATGTTGTTGAGCCTCATGGCTAAAATCACCTTCACAGTCAGGCATTGCTTTCTCTTAAAAAAATAACTCTTAAAGCTTTTTTTCCCCCTAACAAGGTCTCATAGGAATAACGCCTCATCAGGTCACATTGGTAAAAGCGCTCTTCTCCAAGCTGAATCACAGCAAGGAAACCGTTTGTTTCCTTTTTGTTCCAAAGAGCTTTTAATATTGCTCAACCTAAAGTAGGATTAGTTATGAAAGAGCATCAGACCGAGTATCATATCAAGATTATTATGAACATTGAGGTTTTTCATAATCTGTTTGTTATAGCATGCCAAGAAGGGCTGGGAAATATGACAAAAAATGTTACCACAATAAAATAATTCATATCAGTCTATTAGGCAAAAACTTTCTGCTATATTTTCGTTGTTTTGATGGTCATATCTGTCTGTAACTTTGTGTTAAGTGTTCATTTTTCATTCTAAACTTTTATGAACCAAACCAATGTGTGACATTGTTCAGTCAGGTCTGAGGTGTCAATGCTTATCTGGAAGTTTTGAATCTCAAATATGAAATGACTCATTGAGTAGTTTTCTTATCCAGTATTATTTGCATGGATAGTCCTGTGAATAACAGCATGACATTAATCATCCAGTTAGTTTCCTACAAGCAATCTGCTCTGTGTTCTGCTCTGAGCGCACACTCAGCTGTGAAGCAGTGAGTGTGCGCTCGGGGGATGTACACACACCTGATGCACCTTGACCTAAAATAACAAGCAGTATTTTCCCTTTTTTCCAGACTTAGATTTGCATAGATATGAGATTATTTGCATGTCAAGGTGGGTGTTTTTTTTTTTTTTTTTTTTAAGTAACATCATTATGGATTTCTGCTTCGGTTGGTTCTTAAAATAAAACTTGATCAGAAGAGATTTTATATACAAGACTCCGGGAAAAGAATATAGTTCACCTTCCTACAATAATGTTTTTTTTTTTTTTATGGAAGGAAAATGCATCCAAACAAAACTAGATAAGTACGATAAAGGCTCAAGGTAGGGTGGGTTATGGTTGGCTTATTATCAGTCTTCCACACCTGCGCTCTGTCATTTCTGTCAGTCTGATTCTCTGCTAATTAATCACACCAAGTCCATCCAGCACACGATGCAGCCGTATCACTCTCTGACTGAGTGACAATGAGGTCAGAACATCAACCATCTGCTTTCCTTCAGGAAACATACAATGACTCTCAGACAGATTTACATGCGTGATGACAATGTCAAAGGATGCAGCCCAGGATCCCTCGACAGTTATCCGTTTCATCGTGTTTGTTCGACAGCAAATCCACCGTTTGTTTAAATGAATCATGTCAAGATTTCATTCCCACAGAGACCACTGATTAGTGATGTGAAGGAAGGAGCTTGTGGCATTTTGGTACTAAAAACAACAGCTGCACAATGATCTATTCATGCATTTATTTATATTTAAATCTACAAATTAAGTTCAGCTAAGTGACCGAACTGATAAGATATTCTAGATAAATATCACAAACGCTTATCATTTATTGAAGTCATGCTGGCGACAGATGGACCAGAACTTTGGTAAACATTAAAACATTCCAAAAACGACTTGTTTTGTAAATGTTTACAAGTACTGCTGGACTCAAGATGCTGGATTATTTGACACATATGTAGCACCGATGTTTCCTCTATTGCCAGCACTAGGTTGACATTGTGGTGTATGTCTTTATAAATATTGAATGGAATAAACAGATATATGATATTCAGGCTCCCCAGAGGATGACTATTATTAGTAATCAGGTTTTAAAAACTTCTAAAAATAACTTTTTTCCTTGACTTTAACTAACACACAAAAGCCTCACTTTAACTTTTCCATTAGTGCTAATTAGAGAATGCTAGCATGCTAACATGCTTAAAGCTACTGAGGAACTTTCATTTTGACACCATTTCAGCCAAGAGTGCTACCTCTTATCTCTCTGCATTTCATGTGTAAGTATACCATAAAATCTGTTGTATAAGACGCACTTTTAACACCTTTTTTTTTTTATCTAGAAAGTTGGCTGCGTCCATCAGTGCGACATTTATGCTAGTATAAAAATAATGACACACACGCCGTCATCACCATGAGTGCAACCGCCACCATCACACACTGCATGCAAGGCTCATTCATTGTGTATTTAAAGCTGATTGCAAGCTGTGCTGGGATAAGATGTGGCAAAGCCCACGCCTGCCGTGCTACTAAATATATTTTTTCTCCCTCCCTCATGCATTAAAAGCACAGGTGACATATTATTCAGTGAATAAAACTGTTGGAGTGCCCTTTGATTTAAATACTCCTCTATTCAAGTTAATGAGTGTCCAGCGGAGTCGGGCAGCGTACCTGGCTGTCGGTAGCCTACGTCATAACTTTCACTGTAGGCTGAGAGATCAACTACCGTACTGTAGCTTGGAGGAGTGCAAACTCCATAAAGCGAAAACAGATGGTTCTAAAAGAGCGACACAGCTGTACACAAATTGCAAGTTGTGGACCTCGCTAAACACAATAAAAACCATCACGCAGGTAGATAGTTTAAAGATTTTTTTCTTTCTTGGAAACCCCCCCCATAAATAAACTGCGTCTTATTAACTGGTGTGACTTATATTACAGACTTTACAGTTAGTATTATTTAATGTTAAAAAAAAAAAAAATGCTGTGAGGTCTTTTAATTGTCGAACATATCGCTTACTGTGAATCTTTTCTGTGGAAAATGTTACAAAGGCCCTTTCTAGTCTAGTGTGCTGTAAAGCGTTTCATCTGCTTTTAACCTGGCAACAGTATTCAAAGACATAAAGAACTTTTCATCTTGTAAGCATTGTCAGCTGTTAGCGTGTTAAATACTGAGATTATCACAGGGCAATGGGCATCCAGTCAGTGCTCAGTCTACATGATTCACACATTAATTACCACTACTTTTGAAATGGCACCATGTCAGCTGTCTGTGAGTTTATATATAATTTCCATGGGGTTTGGGGTCATTTCAAACACTTTGAAACATTTCCTGAGCAGCTTCCCAGTAAATAAGAAGGTAGGAGTTTAGTGTTTTGCTTTGGACATTTGGGATCAGCTGTGGGCAAAACACACAATGCAAGCTGCAGCAGTGGTGGCTGGTAATTTATGTAGACGGAAAAACATTTTTGCTTCTTGGTTTATATTTTTTCTTGATGTTGAAAAGTCAGGGTAAGAGAGGATTTCATGGGATCAAGACGACACATGAAACACACTGTAAAACCTACAAGAAGACATTTACAAGAACATATTGACAGAATTTTACACCTTTTCATCTTGACATCTATGTGTAAGGTGCTCAGTGCTGACATTAAAGGTGTGCATGGCCGTTCACTTTGCCTCCAGCGTTATTGATTGTTCCTCACCATCAAGAATGGATTCACTGATGCAGTTGACTGTTCCTTTCTTAGCTCTCATGTATTTATGAAGGTTGGACATCTGCTGCAGGTGCACAGGGAAGGGGATTCTGTGCACTTTGCTCTAGTATATCTCTCTCTATCTCTCATTTCCCTCTCGCTCACTCTCTCTGTCTCTCCAGGACTTTCCCCATCAACGATTTGTCTGTGCGGAGATCTCAACACTGCTGGGAGATGTTTCAAGAGATGGAGGAAAGTCCTTAAGAGCTTTTAATAGAAATCTCCTGCAATAGAAACATGAATAACCTCATTCTGTTTCATGTAAAAGAAGGATTTGGTAACTTTTGGGATTTGTGACAGAATCAAAAAATGTAAGACCAGAGAAAGGAACACTCCTATGTTACTGTTGAAGCTAGTAAATGTGTGAAATGTATTCATGTGCAGAGAAGTGAGTGAAATCAAATATTACATTCCAAAGCACTTGATTTTCTGTGTTTTGCTTTGTCCTGAGTTCTGTCCAGATTTTGAACCATTGTGAAAACGACAGTTACAATTACTAGCCCTTTTTTAGAGTGTGACTCGACAACAGCGCTGTAACAAAGCTCCGCTGTCATTACCTCATTGTACATTCATATCGATTCCGCAACAGTGTAATAATGGTGTCTGTGACTGTGAATTCACATTGCTTTATGGCGTTGGGGAAGTGTAGAGACAGCCGGTGCTCCACATACACAAACACTTAAGACATTCACACACACACACAGCGCTGTTCAAGCTGGTGTAATATTATGTTATAGAGTAGATTAGTATGTGAAATAATATACATTGATGTTTGAATGGATGATGCAGTGTTATAACCAGTGTTCATTCGTTTAGCTAGACACCATTAAAGAAAATAAACTGCAAAGTGATCTCCACTAAAAAGGTACAAACGACCACCATCTACACATTTGCAAAACATTCCTTTATTATAAATAAATCTCCTTTTTGTATAAAAACTGGCATGCTTCAACCATGGCATTTTACAGGTTCACGACCCAAGGCTACGACCCGGTTAGCCAAGACAGCAGGAGGAAACACACTCATCTCATTAAGCAAGGGCGATCCATCAGACAACGGTGAGACAAGAATGAAAAAATCGTCACAACCACAAAAATACTTACAGTTAGAGAAGAACAACAAACATGTTTGAGTCTCATAGATTTTCTCTTACATTTCTCTTTTTAAATATCTTTTTAAAATGTACTCTGTTAAAATCTCTTTCCTGGCCCCACCTTTGCCCTTTATGATATAATGTCTACATGGTTTCTGAGAGCTTTTTTGTCTTTTTCAGGATTTTATTTTTTTTATTTTTTTTAAGGTTTTAGATAGTTACTCTGTCCACCACAGTGTCCCATGGAATGTCACTTTTTTCATGTTGTCTCTTTTTTTTTTTTTTTTTTTTAAACAGGTAAGTTCGTGGTAGGACCAATGAGCTGTGAGCAGCGGGAAAGCAGGCACACTGACTGGCTGTTTATGTGGTCCCGCCTCTCTGTGGTTTTGATGCGGAACAATACAAAATGTCTCATGCTTGGATTCCGTAAGGCGCTCTGTCCGTCCGCCAGTTTTCTCCAGCCGAGGGGCAAAAGAACGACAGCTCCTGCACAGCCCCAAGACCCGACCTCTCTTCTGTCCAATCCCTCTCTTTTTCTTCTTCTTCCTTCCCATGGTCCCTTCAAATGGCATGATTGCTGTAGCTGACATATGTCGTCTTAGTTGATGAAGCTGCGTGATTTCAGGGTGTGGGATGGTTGAGGATGGAAAGAAGATGATAAAAAAAATATTTCAAGAAAGGCAGGAACAATAGAAATAAATACGAGTGTGAAGAGAATGAAAAAAGAGACAGATTGGTGGAGGGGAAAGGAAAGGAAAAAGGAAAGGACAGTTGAGAGCAGATTTTGCCACAGATGGTCACGTAACAGTGTCACAGAAACAAGTACACCTGAGTTGTTGGGGCTTTTTGTCAAACCCATTATGTCCTGTGTCCCCTCAAGCGTTCCATGGTAAATGTCAATGTTTTTGCACCAACCAAAGGCCTCTAACTGCTCCATTGTTATTCGCTGATGCTTTCACACAACCTTTTGTGTTTTTGCTGTCTTTCACATGTCTTTCACACACTGCTGGAATTACGGAAAAAGAGTCTTTCATAAAAAAAAAAAAAATCTATTAAAGAAATGAGTTTTAGTGTATGCAACAATTTTTTTTCCTTTTTCCCGGGGTGTGGAAAATGCCCGCCGGTTTTTATTGATATTTACTGAAAAGCACTTTGAAGTGAAATGTCAGGTATATAGAAAGTAAAGACTCTTACTGTGAATTGCCTTTCCCCTGTCCCTGATGTATTAACACATTTAGTTCCTTGGGCAATATGGAACTTAATCATTTATAAGTTATAAAGAGATGCAAGTTAGGCGATGACGAAGCTGTTCAACTGTTGGTGAAATGAATGAACTGTGACCTGCTTCCTTTACTGATGCTGAGAAAGTGCTGACACAGGAACAGGGTTTGCCTTCATGTCTAAAACCTTTCATACGCCTCCATATAGTAGTCACAGAATGCACAGAAACACATGCACAGCCAGGCTGAGACACATGTGTTTATATTAATACAGATAAAAACAAGCATGCAGAAACGCATCTTTTAAGAGCACAGAGGAACACACACAAAAACTCACTTATTGATTGATTGAGACTTGTGCAAAAGCCCGCCTGCACACATGCACAATAAGCACACACTCGCACACAGCACACTGCTGACATAGAAGAACCAGCTCAACACAAAACAGAGCTTTCAAGTGAGTGAACATCGCTTCACTGTCAGAGCTCGGAGAAAATGCACCACGCTTTTGTGAAAAAAGAAGAAAAAAAAAAGAGTCAGTGCTGTGGCTGATTAGTCAAGCAGAAAAAAAGCCAGGCGTGAAATTCATTTTCAAATTGAAAGTAATCTTTTTTTTTTGCTTAATTCAAGCGACACAAAAGCTTCATGCAAAGTGTAAATGTAAGCACAAATGTAAAGGCAGGGAAATGAGAGCTTGTTTAGTATGATACTTTGCTCATATAACATGCATTCAAACAAAAAACGATTATTTTATTACCAGTGCGCTGGGAGAGGGAGATAAGCTTTTAAACCGAACGACTATACAACCCTTTGTGTGAGTTCTACACTTCCATGTGCATGTGTGCTGAGGTGTGTGTGTATTATATGTTTTTATGTACAACAATAAATTAGTATGAAGCTCAAACTGACGATAATTCAGTCTTATGAATCATAGTGTCAGCGTATTTTATTTGGGCTTTTGCTTTTTGGGACATTTCATTCTTGATTATTATTTTTATATAGTTTATATGTATAATTATAAAATCTTTGTGTTCTCTTACTCACTGTTGGTCTCCATGCTCTCACACAGCTCGGTCTTAACCTCTCCGTTGGGTCGGTCTCCTCCCTTCTGGGCCAGTTTCCCTGACATGGTGGCAGCTGTCACGATCGCCTGTATCATCATGCATTCAGACAGAAAGCTTTGAGTGGAAAGGAACGACATTTCAGCAGGACAAATCCTATTTAACAAGAGTGAAACAAAAACAAACACCAAAAACAAACCAGTCAAGTTGTAGAATATGGGACAGAAATTTGAAATATTGAACTTTTTTTTTTTTTTTTTTTTGTCTGCTCACCTTAAAGCTGCGTTTTCGTTTGGGTACGTTCTGTTCCGGGTGGAAGAGGATGATGTAGACCTTGGGCATGTAGAGCATCCCCAGAGACACGGAGGCAGACAGGCTGAGAGAGATGGTCAGGGTGGTAGTTTGGATATACATCTAGAAGGAGAAACCATTTAAAGAAGGTAGAGAGTCATTTATCACTTCTCGGCTTGTCAGAGAGAGTGTGTCTCATCCTCAAACTACAGAATATGTCTGATGAGGGGAAGATGAGGAGGACAGATGGGAAGAAGAGGGGGGGAGGGGTGATGAGTAAGGGTGCTCTAACAAGAGCAACATTAGTCAAAAAATTGTGTTATGACAGCTACAGTGACACATAGGCAGGTAGATCAAGCGGTGTATGAAATGATGGCACCGTTGAAGTTGTTTAATTGCCCGCGTGCTGCAGAGCTTTTCTCTCCGTCTGAGACTGTGAAATGGTGCTCAGTTATTTTTTGGCAGGCTGAAGCACCAGATGGGTGTTGGTTGAAGGTATCAGGTGGGTTAGATAATGACAGAATTTAAACTAAATCAACTTAAAGAAGATCTTTTTTTGGAGAGGTTGGATGAAGTTTGGCCCACATGGGACCCTATAGGGAAAGAAAACTTTGCTTTTTAGGGCTAAAGTAGAGTTTTTCTCCATAAATCAGTGCCTCTCTGGATTTTATTCATTTCAAAGTGAGTTGATGGACTGCAGTTGGATGTCAAACAGAGAAATGCAGACAGATATTGTCCTGTATAGTGGACAAGCTGGCAGGCACTAGCTTAAGGACAATGTCAGCGGATTCAAACATGGACATGATGAGACATACATCAGGCAGGCAGTCAAATTTGTTAGGTACTGATCCAGACAGTTTTATGAAACCATATCAATTCTACCTAGTAAGTTTGAGGGCAGTTATAACGAAAGAAGAAGACAGTCAGGGAGATATACACTGAACTGGACTTAGCACTAGTCCTCAGGTCCTTCGTGAGTTTCAGAGAGTTGTTTGGAGGACGACAGACCTGACACGGCTGACAAGCTCTCAAGACATGGGGCTTATCAGGCGAGCACTGTCTACAGTACATAGAGAGAGACAGTCAGAGGAAGGAGGCAGGAGATGGTGAGATGGAATATGAGAAATAATAGTAAAAAGCCAGGCAGGGCAAGTAAAAGGAGGCATGGAGAAAAAAGGAAGGAAAAGGAAATAAGGACTGATGTTAGGGGAGGGGGCAAGTTGGGACACACTGATGCAGTGAGAGAGAGCAGAATGAAAAAAGTGGCATACTAAAGTGTCAAAAAAAGTGCAAAGACCCACTGGTACAGGCAGCACTGGTAACTACAGCCTGACAAGAATAAAGAGTGGAAACAGAGAGTGAAGCTTCACTTTGAACACAGGAGTGGATACACGCCATGGACAGCCAGCTTCTCAAATACACACTCCGGTAGTGCCACAGTTTTTTTTTTCCCCAATGTAATGTTTGATTCACTACTGCTGACCTCATTTTCATTAATAAACAAGAATAGCTTCTGAACACAGTCAAGTCACACATTTGTGACATAAACCCTTTTCACACATACGGAAATCTCCTGAAAAACTCCTGAGATTTCCAAGAGGAGCTGTATGTGTGAACGCAACAGCCGAATTTTTTACTCCGATATTACCCGGAGTTTATCCGGCCAGACCCCTAGTATTTTTTCCGCAGATAATCCGGAGGAGCTGATGTCTGAACGCGGCCGAATATACTCAGGAGATTACAATTTCAGCCAATGAAAAGAGAATGACGTTTATATACAGTGACTGCCTAAAGTGTCTGCACGCGACCACTACGATCTCCGTGCACGTAATTAAACGGCTGCATTTTGTTTTCTGTTCGTCAGTATGTTGTTCTCCTCTCTTTGTGGATGTTCTCATTCCATTGGATTACACATAGCATTGATATAAAGGCTAATACTGTCATTATAGCGTCGTGTAGCGGACTCTGTTGCTTCGGCCGCTACTTTCGCATTGTTTATTTACTTCACGTCTTACGTCGGGAAATCTCCCCCCCCCCCGACAGGGAAAGTCCCCCGCTGTGAGGAGCATATGTGAACGGCTAGGTCGGGAGAATCTCCGGAGAAGTCCTCCTGTAAATATCTAGATATTATCCGGAGTGCTTATGTGAAAACGGCTTTACAGAACTGATGACTAAGAAGTATTAATGTATCCCTGTGAATAAAGGGCTACGCAAAGGGGACATGATCAAATTATCACTGATAAAACACATAGGACATGAATACAGACACATACAACATGAATACAGACACATGGGACATGAATACAGACACATGGGACATGAATACAGACATGTGATATCGATTGGAAATCTACAACCAGGGAAACATCCGGTTAAGGAGATTAAATGAAACAAACACTCTCATTGGGTGAAGTTAGGGGGAAAAGATTAGCCATGGTGTTCTTGGCTTACATTTTTCCTGTTTATTTCTGAATTCCACTGTAGGCTGAAATGTTGCAAAATTGCCATCATGAAAAAGTATGTTTTGAGCACAAATTTGGGTGCTGCAAAGCTCTTGAACACAAAAGCTTGTATCTCAAGCTTCTCAATGGGAAATATCGGGCTAGAGCAGCCCTGATTAAATGTTTACACCAAGTAGTTTTTGTGAAAAAGCTTTCAGTCTTTTCACTCAAACAGACCAAAAAGAGAACTCTTAACTACATGTCAAAGGGATTACATTTTTGGACAAAAAAATAATCAATACATAAAAAACGTCCAGAACTTCCACTAGATATGTGTGCATTGTGGTCCGTTACGGCTCCATGCACCATCGTCCATCAAAAATGATTTCCTTACACCAAACAATCTTCGGAAGAGCAAAAAATTTAATTCATTTTCAAAAGTCTCACAGTCACAGTCATTAACTAAAATTAAAACACACTCAAGGTGGAATCTGATAGCATCTACAGTAGTCAAAAGGAAGGGGAGTCCAGAGACAATAAACTGGACACACACTTATGCAGACACATGCATAATCCCCCAGTTTACAAGAAGTGTACAAGAAAACAACACATATTCAAGATTATTTTGGTTTTTTTGAGTGAAATTGCTATGACAGAATAACAGAGTGGCTTTGCCTGCAGCTCCCCTACAGGCTCTGCTAGAGTTTACACTTCTCTCCCATCTGTTGTCTTCCACATGGACCCCAAGATCACACACAATCACACACACCTTCACTCTAAACAAAGATATAACAGAGAGGAACCTCACATTTGCAGGAGAAACAAGGGCCAGGCCTGAGATATGCATGAGCATAAGGGAATGTGTGTATTTGTGTTGTTCCTTTCTCAATTCCATGCCAACAATTTGCACTCAAATAGTACTGATACAGGAATCAATGTGGCTATAACAAAGAGGAGCAGAGGGACAGTGCTTTCTGTTGGAGAGCGATCGGTGTGAAACTGAGATAGAAGAAATATTGAAAGGAAGTCAAAAGGAGGGAGTGTAAATAGAATGACCTGCAGAAAAAAGGAGACTCATCAGATATTTCCTTAAGCTTTGAACTTGCTTTTATGGAATCAGCAGACAGTTTCCTGATAGCTGCTCCCATTACATTTAGCCTTTAGTCCAAAGTCGTGGCTTCCAGCTGTTATTTACACAAAGACACACTGAAGACTCAAGCTGTCCTCCACCTTCCTGTCAGAGGCTGATAATGGCTAAGAAAAAAAAAGTGTGTATTGGGAGAGTTCTATTATCCCAAAAGTCACACTCTGAAAGTAGACGATTAGCTGCAGGCAGCTGCACAGAATGTGTTCCCTTAAGATTTAAAACATTTACAGACAGGGATACTCTGGTCTGTGATGGAAAGAGATTTAGGCAGAGGAACAGTCAGTCAGAGTGACAGAAGCTTTTAACACCTGGGAATAAATATTGGAAGGACAGCAACACAAATACGCTTTAAGTTCTAAAGTTTAAAAAAAAGTGATGCTTGAGCTCAATTCTTGGTCAGTGTCGGAGAGGTTCTCTGCTGCAGTATTATCGTCCTCTCAAGGGTTCCTTTATTTTATTATGAGTTCATGGAAAAAACTGCTCATCTACGGATTTTCCTCTTTGAGACACCTTGTTATTTTTCAATTAGTGCTCAATATACAGTTTAGGTGCCCTTTTGTTTAACACAGACCTTATTATGTAAATCACAATCGATCATAAAATCATAATGTTGATCATATATTTCATTCATAATAAATGTAAAAAACGATGGTGAAGACATGATGTCCCCTTTAGACACAGTAGGCTTTAAAACACTGTTACAGCCTCCTTCACCAAAATGTTTAACTTAAGTCTCAAAAATGGAGTCCGATGATATATAAGGACGCCACATAGCTGTTGAGGTTTAAACTGGAGCTTTATTCAATAAAAACATTTCCCCTGCAAAGTAATTTAAGCTAAATAATAAAACAAATGAAACTGCTGGAGACCGCAGCCAAGATGAACAGAAGATGGGAAGGCAGCAAGCCAACCTCGCAATGGGTCGTCGCTCCCAGCACCCCGCCCCCCAAAAACTACCTTAAAAGAACAAAAAAGAGAAAAATAGGACTACTGGGTATCTCCAGCACTAACTAAAAAAAAAAAAAAAAAAACAGCAATCCAAACATGCTTGGGGTGGAAAAGAAGAGGAGAAAATAACACATGGGAGCAAAGAGATCTTTACCTTTCTGCCTGAGCATTTGTGTGTGTGTGTATGTGTGTGTGTGACATATAGCTTTATGCACAACCTGCCCCTCTAAATCACCTTCTTCTATCGGAGTGCTAACTGCAGTCAGGTGTGCAGCAGGCAGAGGGAGGAGGGAGAGCAGAGAGAGAGTCACCAGGCCACAGATTAGGCCACACGTCACAAGGAACATACTTCAAATGTGAGCAAAAGCGCTTATAGCATATAGCTAGCACCCTTCAGACAGAGGCTGCTGTTTTGGTTGATGGAGTATATGTTATTATCAAGTTCAGACATCGAGTATGTCTGGTATATCTTGGCCAAAATGTATTTTCTGTATACTTTTTTTCAGTAAAGCCGTATGCACTTCTTACAAGAGAAGCGCGGCCAGCTGCCAAAGTCACACAGCGCTAAAAAAAGGCGACCAATGTGC